CAAACGTTATTCAAAAACTACCCACCTGCCTTTTTTTTCTGAATGGGCATTAGATTAATCGAATATTTTTTTTCGACCAGAAGACCAGTAAATTTTTTTTTCACAAAGACACAATCATCAATGCTCCTTAAAAGTATTACCACTTCGACTTCAATACGAAGAATTTGATGTTTCATTCTTTAAAGAAAAAACATCAAGGGTGTGGGTGTTGGTGTGGGGTGTTAGTGTGGGCGTGGGTGTGGGTGTGGGTGTGCGTGTGGGTGGGTGTGGATGTGTGGGTGTGAGTGGGGATGTTTGAGAGAAAAGCTAACTTACACCCACACCCACACCCACACCCACACCCACACCCACACCCACACCCACATCCACACCCACATCCACACATCCACACGCCGGCCGGAAAAGGTTAAGATTGAATGACACGTTAATGTGCAATCTCATCGAATGTATCAGTTGATATCAATGCTTGGAGAATTTTTTTATGAATCATTGTGTAGGAAGCAGGAGAAAAACAAAAAAAGAGAATGGTTGAGTTTGACACATTGTCTCTATGCGACAGGCACGAGCGAAAACTGCTCTGACTGAATGAAATAAATATGCCTTTTAAAGGTGTGTGCGCATACATACTTTTTTCTTTTACATTTCACGGCAACAAGCAGAGACATAACCCATTGGTGAATATCGCGCTTTTGCTCAGTATGAATCCGTACAAAATAAAAAGCTACACATTCCGAGTGATTACTACTTTTTACACGCTTACTATTCAATGCAACAGCAGTACTTCTACAATACCTTTGGCAAGCATCGATTTTGTAAATTTCAGGCTTAAAAATTTCTGAGCAACTTTTTTGAACTTTTTGAAAATGGATTTTATTGGGCTGTTTTGGTTTCGAAACATTTCTTTGAAATTTTACTGAGTTTCTTTGAATATCTGGACTCTCGATTTTTTTTTCTGAATTAAAACCGGCTTTTCTTTTTAGATTTTTATGGAACTTTAGGTATAAATTTGCTGTTTCTTCCAGACAATACCACCAGTTGATACTTATTCTGTTATCAGTTTTGTGTTCTTACCATCGAGAAATATATAATTATTTTGGATGGCTGTTACCTTATCGGCGGACGAACGACGACAAAATTTGCTCCCAAATGAAATTACTCAAAACAAAGAAAATATTCAGTTGATTTGGCTCGATGGGAATATCGATGTTTCAGCTGATTGTCTTTGCACTCAATCGATGCTACTTGAACTCAATCCAGCTGCACAGTTTTATTCAGATTTCGATCGATGTGTCCAATTGATTAAATCGATCAAAAACGAACGAGTCTGTCTTATCGTTTCAGGCGCCTTTGCACGTCAAGCTCTTTCACATATCTCTACTCAACGCACAGTCGTTGCTATCTTCATTTTCTGCGCCAACCGTCAGCGTCACCAGTCATTGATAAATGAGTGCGAGAAAATCGTCGAAATCTTTACTGATCGAGATCGTTTATTGGTATCGATTCGAGAGACTATGAATCTTGTTGAAAAACAAACGCTCGCATTTAGTCTTTTCGATCAAAAACAAAAAATTGGACGAGATATAAGTAAAGAATCAGCGTCATTTCTTTGGCAACAGATGCTAACTTATGTTCTCAAACAAATGCCGCAAGATCAACAATCGAAACAGGAAATGCTTGAGATGTGTCGCCATTATTATCGACATAACAAACAAGAGTTGAAGAAGATCGATGAATTTCAATCGACTTATAAGAGTGACAAAGCCATTCAATGGTATACAGATGAATGCTTTCTCTACAAGTTATTAAACAAAGCACTTCGAACGGAAGATATTGAACTGCTCTACATCTTTCGGTTTTTTATTATTGATCTATGTGCAGCACTCGAAAAGGAAAGACTTCTTCTGAAAGGCGAAACTATTCTCACTTTATATCGTGGAACTCAAATTTCAAATGAAGAACTCGAAAAACTTAAACAAAATGAAGGGAAAATCATTTCGACTAATGGATTCTTGTCAACTTCTCGCAATATCCATGTTTCACTTCGATTTGCCCGACAGAGTCTTCCCGCAGTTGATTTTCAAGCAGTTCTATTCGAAATTAAAGCCGATCCATCGTTGAATACGGTGGTTTTTGCCGATATCGAGGATAAAACTCGAGTAAAAGGCGAAGAAGAAGTTCTTTTCAGTCTTAATGCACTCTTTAAAATTCGATCTGCCGACTTTGATTTGACACTCGATATCTGGAAAGTAGAATTGACTGCGACCGATGAAGGTTCACATAAAATTCAAGAATATCTCACATTAGCAAAACATGAACTAGACGATTATGCACCAACCATCTATTTTGGGCGTCTTCTTCTCTATAGCTCCGGTTATGTCGACCGAGCTGAGAAATATTTTCAGATGTTACTTAAGACACTTCCATTTGATCACGAAGATACTGCAGCTGTTTATAATCAGATTGGAGCTGTGCAAGATTTAAAAGATGAACTTGACTTAGCATTGGAGAACTACGAATTAGCCTATGAGATTCGTCAAACACGGCTACCGTCCGATCATCCTCACATCGCTGCTTCACTAAACAATATTGGAGGAATTTACAAAGCGAAGGGAGACCCTGATCGGGCTATGGATTATTATAACAAGGCACTGAATATTCAAAAAAAGAATTATCCTGGTGATCATGTACACAAAGCCATGACCATGGAAAATATTGGCCGAGTTTATACCGATAAAAATGATTTTGATACTGCTCTTCTACATTTACGTCGTGCTCTAGACATGTACGAACGTGTTTTGCCTGCTCAGCATCCAGATATTGCTCGATGTCTTGGTAATATTGGAGTTGTTCACGAGAAGAAAGGTAACTTTGATAGTGCGCTTGATTATTATCATCAACAACTAGAAATGGATGAACAATGCTTACCGATAGATCATCCTGATCGCTGGAAACATCTTGACTGGATTGTTGATACTTATAAAAAAGTGGGTGAAATTGAAAAGGCATTGAATCTCTGTCGAAAGCAGCTCAATATCCAGAAAAGTTCACTGCATGAAACTCATCCTTGTATTGCTCGAACACTGCTCAGCATGGCTGATGTGCTTGAAGATAAAGATCCTAATCAAGCACTCGATCATTATGCCTTAGCCCTATGTATTCTGGAACAGTCAACATCACCTGATCATCGAGCAATATCTCAGTGTCTCACATCGATGGCATGCTTGTATAGCAATTTTGATATGTTAGATAACGCATTACAATGTCAACTCAAAGCACTTGATCTCAACCGTCAAATATTGCCTTCAAATCATGCGTCTATTGCAAACAATTTAAGAAATATTGGCTTATTTTATCAAGCTATGAACCAGTCGTCAGAAGCTGTTCGCTATTTAGATGAAAGCCTGTCGATTTATCGAGCCAACTACGGACAAGACCATGAATATGTTAAGAGAGGTGAAACAGACATTGTAAACATCAAAATCAAAAACAATACTATATCAACGAGTATCGCGCGCACTTCATCGACATTGGATGAAGACATAGAAGAGCATGCTCATCATGGTCTTAAATCGACATCACCATCTATTCAGTTGAACTCAACGCCATTACTTGATCGTACGAAAACCATCAAAAAGAGAGGAAGAACTCATCGGGATAGTGTATGTGTCATACAATAACATTTACTGCATCTGTTTCTTCCATTTATATCAGAAAATAATACTCCACATGTTTTCAAAGTTCTAAGCTCAGACAAATGAATGAATGCTGATTCATAGGGTGTGGGTATGGGATGTGGGTGTGTGGGTGTGGATTGAGTATCTACAGCCACATCCACACCCACACCGCCCACACCCACACCCAGACCCAGCCTCACCTTACACCTCGTCTGACGGCCCGTCACTATTCGATATTATCTATCTTCATTTATTACCGTTATAGATCGCAATAATTAGCCAATATTTCCATTGTTGAAGATGATCGAGAGTGCATCAACAGAATAGAACGAATCGAAAAACCCGAAAGAATTTGGTGTTTCATTAATCTTCCGTGTTGCCACATTACTGAATTGCGAGTTGTTAACTTTATTAGTGAATGTTAGTTGTCGGGGGGAATCAGTAGATTAAGGCTGGACTTCTGCAAATAAATTGTTCGATGGCCAAAGAATAGATATACAAATGTTAATTGATATTATAAATGACAAGAGAAGTAGTATTTTGGTATTTTTCCATCTCACTGACAAACTTTTAGTTGGTTGCGTCCATTTGAAGCATAAACCAGCATTGAAAAGCGCACGTTTAGGCATGCTAACTGTGCGTCCAGATTTAGAAGCGCAAGGATATGGAAAATTCATCTTATCAGTGGCTGAAAATTACGCTATAAACAAATGGAAGATTGAGTAAATTGATATGATTGTTCTCAT